CCCTAAACCCTAAAACCTAAAGCCATGATTCCCTACTAATCCCCAGTAGGTTTGAGTCCAGGAGCGAGCGGCGACCTGTGACCTTGGCGCGGATGCTTTGGCGCTGCCTGGCTGACTCAGACTTCCGCATTCAGGGTTTAGGGTTTAGGGTTTAGGGATCAGGGTTTAGGGTCTAGGGTTTAGGGATCAGGGTTTAGGGTTCAGGGTTTTGGGATCAGGGTTTAGGGTTCAGGGTTTAGGGATCAGGGTTTAGGGTTCAGGGTTTAGGGTCTAGGGCTTAGGGTTTGGGGATTAGGGTAGTATGAACCCTCCGCGCTGTCGTCATAATTGTGGTAATCTTTCTCAAGGTGCTGATGGCCCCTAAACTTTGACATGGGGGCTCTCTGGCATCAGGGTTCAGACTATCCAGCCACGGTAGAGTTCATAACTTGTTATTATGCTGGGGAGGCTTTGCCAAGTTGGCGTTTGCTTTTCTGTGCTTCTAAACCCTATACTATAGCTGTTCCCACTTTCTATTATTCTATATATATATATAACCCCAATGTACCCCCTATATATCGCCTATAGAATCCCTATGATCCCTATAGTTTCCATCTTCTTTTCCATTACTAGACATCCATATATATATATATATACATATGTATACAGCTCTCTATATATATAACCATTATTATACTATAGTGGAGGGTCTGGCAGGTAGCTGCGCTTTCTTACGGCCTGAGGGCCATTTGCGGGGAAGTGATCCTGCACGCCCTGGGCACAATCTGACAACAAAGTTTGTTACATTGTATACTATACTATATTCTATGTTATTTTAGTACATTCTTGTATAATATTTCATATTATAGTAATATAGTAGAAGTCCTTTGCTTGAGAACGCAAAGGCGTAGAACCCTAACATTTGAGAAGCCTTTTGCTGGATGTGCTCCTTTATGAATGCGGTTGCTGATGCGGAGATGTGGCACCGGAGGAGGTAACAGAGCGGCCCTAGGAACCGCAGGGTTCATTTTATGGGCCCCTGCAGCCTTGACGTCCCATACCCAACCTTAACCTCCATCCCCCCTAGAGCATCCTAAACTATAAAGCCTGTATCGACTCTGAAACGCACACCAGCCAACTCGACCCCTCATCTTTACTCGCCATGAGCACGCTCATCGCGAGAAGCATATCATGCTCATTCATGTCCTGAGCCAGCTGTGCTTCCGGCATGTCGCAACCATAGACTTATCACTATGATCCATGTTATTAAGCTTTATCAGTACCTCATTCAGGCATCTGTAGCCATGAAGTGGGAAGATTGCTGTTCTAATACATGACTACTGCTGCCATTGCTATTGATTTGAACATTATGACGCGTTTTTCTTGTTTTGCATTTTTATCAGCCCAGTAGTATTACTCATTCCACTGTTCCTCCTGTTTTGATGTTTGTCATTTATTATTCTTATTTGCAAGCAGGCTATGGCCTTGGGCCGTTGCAACTGGATCGCTGGGTGACGGGCTTTCTCAAGAAGTTCGAGCGCGTATATGAGCTGCAGAAGGACCTCAGGGTGTTCAACACTCTTATGTCCTCTTTGGGGGTTGTGGTTCCCGGAATTATTTGACATTTTCACGCTGAAGCCCAACAGTGTTCCAACAGGGAATGCGCAACTATAGTTTCATCCACATCTCAACAAGGAAAAAGCTTTGGGGCTTAGAGTTTAGGGTTGCTGAACTGCGATCAGAGTTTTGTCCCAAGGCCCAACATGGTATCCTTCTTGAATAAGCCCTAAACCCTAAACTCTGTGTGTGTGTGTGTTGTAACAGTGGGGCTGGGGCCTGGCATCATTTTTCCCATGCTGGTAATAACACTTGGGGCAAACTCCCGTGTGTGTTTTTTTTGGTAGGGCCCTGGGCTGAAGTCTACGCGGTTGAAAGTCGATGTTTCCTGGAGAGTGGGTAGCTCTAACTACGGTTTTCACGTTGACTTCTAGACGTCACAAGTATTCTTACTAAGACTTGGCAAGTTCCGCGGAGTCCACAAGGCGTAACGAAGAGACCACGAAGTCGGGATGCAACATGCTCGCATAGGCGCCAGTCGGCTGAAGACATGTTGAACGTACCCCAGATACTCACCCCGGCCGGGAAGTCATAAAGAGAGAGCTAGGTTTAACCTTGTAACCAAGAATTCAATGCCCATATCCTCAGCCATGAAACGCAAGTATCCTTTGAACTGTGAACCGTATACGCCCGTACATCCTATGCTCTTAATTGCGTCCTTATGTCCTTAGAATGTATGGCACATACATTGGAAGAGGACGGCAGAGCATTCAGCACACCCCGCCGGCTCTTAGCCGCACTGGACGTGAGGTTCGGCCAGATGCTAGATGAGACCTTGGAGGAGCGAGCCTTAGCAGGGGTCAATTGGTTTCGAAAGCTTGTGTGTTCGTGTGTCTGAAACTATCCACGGATGCAGGGAGATTCCCCAGTTTTCAGAAATGCGCATGCATAGATCTTACAGAGGTTTCTAGGGTTGATACCGTTTGTAAGGGGCTTCAGCTGGTGCGTAACCTTACTCTTGTAAGCCCCTGTGGCGTTCTACACTAAATCATAGAAGCACCAAAGCCCATTGACCCTGAATCCCGAAGCATAGGGTTTGGGGTTTAGGGTTTAGGGATCGGCCTTTCTCAAAATGATTCCCTTGCATACTCCAATTATAAGCCCCAGGTTTCCCCAGGGTCCCCGTGATTACCGGGGTTTAGGGTTTAGGGTTTAGGATTACCCATGTTTAAGAGACCCGCATAATTGCCCAGTTGTCCTTTCATGTTCTACGTGGTTCTCTATTATGAAGGCTTAGCCCTATACCATATGTAATATAACCCCTAAGCTCCCTGCAAAGAGAACCCATTACGACAACAGTCCAGACCCAATACGCAAGGAGCGTATGAGACGAGATGGCTTTGGAGAAAGGTTGATTCAGGAACTGGCGAGCGGCAGTCGGGCTTTGCATTGGCAACATTTTTTCAGGCAGGGAAATCCCGGGTATAAGCAGGATATACGATTGCTTCCTAAAATATAATTTTTTATGGGTAAGATATATGATTCCCAGTGCCTACCTAGCTTCTTCTGACTTCCCATGAGTTGCTATTTCATCGGGTATTTCATCTTGGGATCCTACGGACATCCTTTTGCGGCATCTTATGTTTGGGTATGTTATGGTTGTGTACGGGATGCTTCGGAACTACGCAAAAGGAACGGAGCTTCTTCAGATGTTGGGTCCGGTTGGATTTAGAGTTGGGGTTGATGCAGGGTTTACGAATCTTTTCGGGCTGCCACCGGTTCAGGGTGGAAGGTTGCCACTCGATTTAGGGTTTCAGGTTTCAGGGGGTTCAGGCGGGCGTAGCTTATGCGGACTTGCTGGGCTCCAACTTGTAACATGCAACTAGGGCAGCTGGCGGAAACAAGCGATCCCAAGTTTGCCCTATGTGGAGCAGAACCAAGTGGCTTCCAAAGCAGCCTAATAATTTATGAGAGCTTCAGCTCTTCAGCTGGATGTCCTCAACCCTAAACTTCAAGGGGAGTTGTTCGAAATGATAAGGACCCACGAGAAAACCCCTAAAAAGTCTCCACGTCGCTTTTTGTTTTCCGGGGTTACCCTGATTTTGGGAGTTGTTCAACCTCCTGGTCCCAAAATCCCCACTGTGTAACCTACATCTCCGCTCATAGACCTACAGGACCCCTAATTAATTTCCCCACAGGAC